AAAAAAGAAAAAGAAAAAATAAAGAAAATAAAGAAAAATTCTTCCTCTTAATCTACGTCGACTTAGAGTCGGCAGGGTCGAGTACAAGCAAAGCGGATTTGGCCACGGTATCAAGTTACTTGGTTTTTCGACGTATTCGCCGCGAAGAATTTAAAAATTGATTCCTGTTGGGAATGGAGAGGATATCGTTATGTTAGACAGGAAAAAATCAGAAAGAAAGAGTATTAGCATTTTCGTTTAACTGGGAAAATTCTTTATTGACTTTGAATATTATTGAGAATGAAGTTGATTTAGTCCAGTTGCAACAAGTTGTTGAGTGATTTTTTATAGATTTTAATCAAAGAAACTAGCTCCATTTCTGTTGAATATTTATTGTGTTTTATCTTTGTTTTTTTTTTTCTTGATATTATTTCAAATTTTCTACAGTTATTATAGATTGGTATTATTTAGCAATTTTTAGTTTCATTCACGTCAAAGGCAAGCATAAAATGGAACGTCGAAAACTATGTTTTGGTAATTTTAACAATTGTATAATACAAAAATTGTTCCATCTGTCGGGAAACTTTCGCAGTACAAAGATCACAAAATTATGGTCAATTTCCGTTCATACTGTGTTGAACTAATTTTTTGTCCAATTATAGGCAACGAGAGAGAAAAAAAAAATAAGTCACATTTTCCAAATCTAGTTAACCAACCGCACATTACCAAAACTGTCCTTTTATTTGATTTTGAGATTAAAAATCGTCTTTTCTGACATTGTCAAAATATCGGCAAATATTGGTTCTGACAGGTTTAATTACCCGCTTTTAACAGGTTTATATCATTGGACTGGATATCTCTCTATCTAACTACATGTCGTATCAAAATATACCATTTTACCTACCGGAAACCATGAAAATTTGGAAATTAACAAAAATGGACTTGGCGTGTTTTTCCCTCCTGACGTCCAAACGAAATTGACCATAAATTCTGACCGAAGTGTAATTTTTATCTTCAATTTTCGCTTCTAATTTAATCGGAACCAGACGGAGCAAGAAGGCAGACGCGCCGCAAAATTATTAAGATAAAATAGAAAAACGAATTTCCTTGCGAGCTGACGTACATCCACGTTCCATTTTCCATCGCGCGACTTTTATTTCTTCGTTGCGTTATTCCGGCAAAAATGCTCGTCCCTCCCCTCCCCTTCCTCCTCCATACGTTTTTAAAACTTCTATTCAGTAATCGGATTTTTCAGTGTAACGCCATTTATGTTTCATTTCAATTACGCGGCTGAAAAGCTTTATATGATAAAATATCCATGCGAAAGACATTGCTTCGTGTATTTAAATGGTCTGGCAGGTACTTTCCTTTTTTTTTTTTTCCCCCTCTCATGAAATTCATCCAAAATCCCCCTTTTTCCGTAAAACGGGAAAAAGTTCTCTCCCTTTTCTCTTCGTAGTAATCTCCTCGTTGGGAAATATAAAGCCTGCCTGATTGTTATCAGACCGCGGACGTTTCATGCAAGTTTATATTTTTATCAAGTAACTTAAGGAGGCAGGACGGTGTGAAAAATTACGAGTATTTTGGAGGACTAATAAAAAAAAGTACATATTTGATTGACATGAGCTTTTGTGGTTCATTTTAACACATTGTGAACTATAAAAAGCAACATTAAAAGAGAAAAAAAGAAGGCTCTTTTAATTTAACTTTTTAACAGCATCCTTTTACATAACTTTGCCTATCGGTGTGCATGATTCCAGCCAAACAGGATTAGCTGCAACAAAAAGGCAAGGAAAGTTCAAAAGTAAACAATATTCTCTAGGGATTGACGATCCAACATTTTCATTTTTCTGAAAATTATGAAAACAGCAGCTATTTGCTCTTGACGTATCGAATTTATGCCAAAAATTTCTACGCTTTTTGTTTGTATTTTTGTTTGAAATTGTTAAAAATTAAAAAACGTTCGATCGTCAATCCCTAGTAAATGTTATACTAAAGATACGCAACAAGTTTCACAGTAATCGGTTGGTTAGATTCCGAGATATCTTGCACATCGTTTCTAAAAACCTAGTTTCTAGAAAAACGCGTTTAAAGTTTCAGAACGTCATTTTTCATACGTATCCTTTATTTACTTTTTTCTACTTATATATCGCGGCTCGCAGTTCTTACAATTCACAACTAAATTGAATCCGAGTCCCCTAATATTCGATTTATTAAAAGTAATATTCGAATCACACGATTTACACTTTGTAACACTGCTTAAAGTTGTAAACAGTGATGCAAATTCAATTATTCTGTATCCGCGGATTTATTATACCCCAAAATAAGTCGTTTTAAAGGACTTTTTGCATCTTGTTTCAATCAGAACTACTATTCAATTATTTATTTAGACTTCAGACTACTATTTAAAACAAAAAAAATCGATTTTTCGAAAATTTCAAACTGTCCTGACCCCTTGAAAAGGAAGATTTGCTTCCTCTCTCAAATCGCATAATTTATTTTGAATGTTACACATTCTACGAATTCTTCACACCTTCCAAAGGTATTTAAAGATCCGTCGATTGTAAAAAATTGTCAGTGATCGTGGAGTTCTTCGATTTTAAACTCTGGCGTTGATAATTTGTCGGCGTGAAAGTGAAAAGCCTCGGATGAAATGGACGTTTCGCGTTGACTGTTTAAATCTCGTGACGTTGGACAGTTTTTAACGGGTTCGTTGCATCGTAGCACGGGCGATTTTTCGGCCGACGAAAACATCAACCGAATACGGGGAAACGCGAGCCGTTAAGTGTTCCCCGAAGAAGGAACTTATCGAATTTGTCGTGGCCAGGGAACCGTTTAGGGGCCATATTCTCCAGGATTCTTATCGTTACCTTCCGACTCGTTACCCTCTAATTTAGCATTTTAAATGTCGCTTGTATGCATGTGTATACGCGGAGCTGATCGTCCAGCGGAAGAGCCGGGACCAGGGCCCGGCTCGGTATCAATGACTCAACGTGCCAGGAATTCGCCTTCTCCAGCATCCGACTGATCTTTCGGCCGTTTGGAAACACGCGACCACCCCGACTGGTAGCTGCTCGTCACGATTTCCTCGGAGTCAACCTCGGACGATCGTCTGACGAGCCTTTTAGAAAACCGATATCAACCTCTAAATGGAACAAGTCGGACGAATATTCCTGCTCAGGCTGGATGATCCTCGGTCAATCAGCTCGTGGTACATGGAATATATCTTTCTTAACGTTGGCCGTTGTGATACGCTTCGGCTTTTACAGGCTGATTTTTCAGCAGGCTGTTAAGTAGCCTTTTCGTCTCGTTTTGTTTCGTGTTGTACACGCTGCCCGGCCGATTTTTGATCGGTACAAAGGCGAGGGGTAATAAACGAGCGACGACGAACAGTGTGGGTCGATGTTTTTCAAAAGTCTGTGGTAAAATAATGTCTAAAAGATGAATGATATCTTGGTTATTGAATAGAATTAAATGGATGAATTCAGTAAGTTTTTATGTCGTCAGTGTCGTTGATTCTATACTTTTGTGTTTCGATATGAATTATCACGTTAATACAATAATATATTTTACCATGGTATTATCATACTAACTTAGATGTACATTTATATCTGTACAGTTAATGTGATTAATATAATATCTAATACATTTTATTCTATTATTATTGTCGTAGATTCAGATATAAATTTTTCATACTTAAAATGAAACCATTGGGCTTAATACTGTCTTTAAACTCGAGTCACTTTTCGATCAGGAAATTTAATGAAATAATACAGTGTAACAATAATACACGTAAAATGAAAATTAAATACAGAGGATGCACGTGAAGTAATTTCAATTAAAAAATTTAATTTAATTTTTGAAATAAAAAATATAGAAGGCTATTTATTAACTCGTTCGAAATGAAAATGAAAGATTAAATTTAATACTTAAAGTATGAAAGATTATTTATTAACGTGCTTAAAATGAAAGCTAAATATGAAAAGTTGCGTGCTCAACGCCATGTACTTAAAATAAAAATTGAATTTAGCATAAAATGAATAAAGCATAAAATGAAAATTAAATAACGTGTTTAAATTAAAAATAAGATGCAAAAGGCTGTTTATTTGCCGAGCTTAAATAAAAATTAAATAAATTTAATAAAAACTGATTATATTAAAATGAATTTGACGTGAAATTAAAAAAATTAGGCGTCCTCCTGTTAGTTAGCAGTATGATATTTTAGAATAAATTTTTTACGATTGTAAAGTATGTAAAACTATGCTTTGCTGTCATGTTGTTACAGCAGAGATGTTGTTAAACTGAAATCATCATGTCAATCGTGAATATACTATTCTTCATCTCACATACACATATTTTTATGTATTAACATTGTAGTTGTGATATTTTTTGAAAATTATTATATATATGCGTATAAATATTAATATGCAAAAATAAGCACAATACATGCAACATAATGTTGCTGCAAATATCTCAAAAAAAAAAAAAAATGAAAAATATTTCATAAAAATATTAAAATTCTAGTGTTCACATTGTTTAAAAATGCCTACTTTTCTCTACTGTTCTTCAACTCACTGGCTCTATTATTTCGTTGAACAGACACTGACAAAACTTGATGACCAGAGCCAAGTGCAGGAGGCATCCGGTAATTCCACCGGAAGTGGAATCGTAGCCAGCAGCTTGATGCAATTGCTGTGCAGTTTGATCCCGGAGGAACCGTTTGAGAAATCGGCATTGCAAACGCGGGTCCAAGATATCGCCGGGTGAGTAGCTGAAATATACACCAAATACACGTGTGCTTCTTCCATGTTTTCACGTTACGAGACCTTAAAAATTCCGACGTGTAGGTACACTTAGGGTCGATCGTACTTTACGCGCCGGTGTCATTTCCATTCTCAGGGAAGTGCGCCATTTAAAGTAGCGTCGTGCATTAAGGTGCAGACGTCACGAATGTTTTCCTTGAATTAGAAACGTGAGAAAATATACGAAGCGGATGCAACATGGTAGCGTATTTTATTAGGCTACTTTGGAAATTCTGTCTGGTAGGAAAAGCCAGCCGCCAATTCGTTTCTTAAAAGCGCTTTCTGAGACGTATCGCGTTGGACGATTTTCTTCCCTCGAGTATTTCAATTGCTGTAAAAAATAGGTGAATAGGTGAATTTCAATAATGAATAATCGAACAGGTGAATTTCAATTGCGTTTGTAAGAATAAAGTAGGTGGAAGAAATTTAGGAAATTTTTGAACAGTGAATAATATTCGCGTATTTGAAAAACGCAAAATAAACTGTACTTTTGGACTGTTTGCAAAAATGAAGGGTCGGACATTTTTGGAATAAAATTCTCATATTTTCAGATTTTATAAATTAACATTGACTGACTAATCTTTCTCTTTTAAAATTGTATTCAAATTGAACACTAATCAATTCAATTGTTTTTTTTTTTTTTTGGTTGATCATTCTCCCAGTTTTTTGATTATAAATAAATTTTCAGATAATAGTAGTAACAGTAGACAATGCTTAAACGAATCAATAAAGACGAATTCTTTCATAGTTTTTTTTTTTTTTTTTTTTGTTATATTTTTCAAAAACTAAGTATATATTTCCTTCAAGTTTATTCATTATATAAATACTAAATGTTCTTTACATCATGAAATAAATTACATCTATATTGTATATATATACCTAGAGTATCATAAGTATAAATATCGAATGGACAATATAGAATAATGTTAAAAAAGACAATACTATTTTTTTGTGAGTCAAACTTCCATTTTAATAAGAAATACAGAAAACTTTATTAGCATGCATATAAAATGAAATTAAAATAGACCGGTGAAGAACCGATCAGATTTAAAGAAATTGTCAAATGTTTCAACATTATAGACAATGCAATCTTGTAACAATTTTACTACAAAAAAATATTCAACTTTTAACTATTTAGAAAATTAGTTTTTCTCGAAACTAATTTTTATCACTGAGGTCCTTCTTCCATCTAACAGTACACTTTTGTTCCTTTAAAAATATGACGATTTTCACAGCTGCGTAATTATTTTTTTGATACCGTTATAGTAATTGCTATTCTAAGAGGGAACTGCTTACAGCCGGAAGCCTTAATTTTGATAATTGTGTGAAAGCCTCGAATTTCAGACTCCATCGCCTCTATGAAAACGCACAGCTAGTCCTCTAATTATAAATTCACATAAATCTTCTTCGACTTTGAAATATACTCGGATGCGTAATCCAAAAAAAAAGTGTTCTTTAATAACAAAAATCTTCAATATTTTTATAGGGTATTAACGTTCTCACCGCACTGTCTGTCTCATTTCCCTTGCATAATAAAATTACTTGTAGCATTCCATTAAGCATTCACGTAGCAGAGCCTCTGATATTTGAAATCTAATTGCATGCGTTAGACCAGAAATGTATATCTACTTAATTTAAATACACATATATCCTAATGGAATGCAAACATCGTTTATTTAAAAAGATATTATAAAATATCAGAAATATTACGAATATAGGGCAACGTATTGTAACACAGGTGCTTTCACAAGGTGACTCTTTGCGAAAAAATAAGAAAGAAAATGAAATCTTTTTCATTCGAGGTTCAATTTTCGAGAAAACTGTTGAAGTTGAAAATTTATCTGGCACACTTTTATTTGACTAAGTTGGACAGTGAAGTGAAGAATCTATGGGAAGATTATCTTAAAATAAAGTAAAAATGCAATATAAAGTTTATCAAGTCTCGTTTTCAAGAAAATTAGTTAAGGATTCACAAATTTGTGCTTGATAAAATCTTCGAATTTTATTTGCTCGAAAATGAAGCATTGAAAAAAATTTTATTCCACGTTTTTAACTTATTTTAGTAATATTCTGAATACAACTGTGTTTGATAAATTTTCAACCTTGATTTTCTCGAAGAGCTTCGAACGAAAAGACTTTATTCTACATTTATCGCTAGAAAGATTGTGCAAAGTTATGTATATCGCAGATTGTTTGGAGTATGGCAGTTTTTTGGATTGTCAAAATTAATTTGGAATGTGAAAAAGAATTCATACCAATTACTAATCATTATCAACCATTTAATCATTACAGAAATTCATACCAATTACTAATCATTATCAACCATTCAACTATTACAGAAGTTGAATTTGAGATTCATTATTTTATCAGCGGTTAATCAAGGGATTATTATTTATGTATTACCCATTATTTTTGCAATGAATCACGCTCGTTTGATATGTTATCATTGACCGTACTCTGTACAGTTATAAATATTATCGTAATTATTTTTTAATGATTGAAATTCAGTGGAAATATCCTTTGATTCTTACGTTTACTTTACTTAACTCCACAATCGCGTTCTTCATTTTTGTCTTCATTTAAATTCCTACGAAATTTTCGCTAGGAGAACTCCTCCCATTTGTACATGTTGCACAAACATCGCGGCACACATTTCTTTGAGGCGGGACAACTGAGAAAAAACTTTAACACTTTGACGTGCGTGGACCACCACCGTGGAAAAACACGACGGTTCTGTTGCGCGAGCTGAATTTAATACGCGAGTCACGGTAAAGTGACAGGGTACAAGCTGTTTTCGTTGCATCCTCTGAGATTCGATCTTCAACAGGAGGAAGCGTTGCACCTGGGTCAACTTCCTCCTTCGAAACCTCCCAATTCGTTGGTTAATCCTTTTCCTATTTACACGAAAACCATTCCCCCCCTTCCATTCTGTTCGAATTTCATCGTATTCTCGTTGCTCAGTAATTTACTTTTTTTTTTTTTTTTCGGATGAAACAAATTTTCCTTTACTTTTTGATCGGCGTTGCAAATTGAAATGCTAATGTCGCAAGATAAAATATTTTATTTTGCTGAAATTGTTATCGTGATATACACCAAAGTTTTGAGTAACAGTGTTGATGGAGTTTATCGCTACGTTTTGATTTTTAATTCGAGTTTTCATGATACAATCGCGAAGGGGATGATTCTGCGTGCAAAAGTAATATTTTGTTTTTGAGATAATCGGCTTCGAGTGTTTCTTAAATCGGGCTAATTCTGACTAGACTAGTAAATATTAATATTAGTATTAGACTAATGAACAATCGATGGGAGATTATTCTGTGCGGAAATAAATTAAAATCTTTTTTTTTTTTTTTGAGAAAATTAAATTAAAAAGTTTGTACAGGTACACGTCAATTCGACAGTTTCAGTTCAAGTCTTAACAAAACGCATTCTTGAAAACGAAGTTTTAAGTGGAAAAATTTCATTCTACATTTTTTTACTTACTTTGTTCATTTTGTACAATCTGATTTGAAATTAATTAAATTATCAAGCTTGATAAATATAGATAGCAGGTTTTTGACATATTTGTGGAAAATTTGGAGGTACAGAAATATATAAATACAAGAATATATAGAGTAGCCATTTAAATTTTAATACTTCTTGTAATTTTTGATAGCTGAAATAATTTTCTCTGTAAGCTTTAAGCTTCGTAAAAATCCACAGTCTATTGATCAATTATTTAATTTTTCTAAATTTTCAATTTTTTTTCTTGACTAATCTTTCCATGCAGAATTATTGATAACACTTTATATACTTGAGATGTACAAATTGTACAATGTATATAAGTATATCAAACATCAATTGCAATTGATCTATGAATTTCAGTTTCGTGAAAGTTTCATTTCCTGCCATTTGTTATAATAATTATTTTCAAATTTCAATTTCGTCCAGATTCACGAACTTTTACATTTTCATTCAATCAAGTTCTCACTTTGAAAAATCGTAGAATCGATCGATTCTGCAAAGTTTATCGAGACGAATAGTTAGTACAACGTGCGTAGTAGTAGTAACATTTTATTTTTAGTATCTTGTACAGTGAATCTGCAAATTCTTAGTTTACCAACTGTAACGTCCAACTTTGAATAATGAAGGAGGAAAGCGTGATCAGAGTGATTGCTGACCGGCCGCCGGTAGTCGAATTATTATGATTAATTTCCTGCCGATGTGAGAATGGCCTAGTCACGATTTTTACTCACCAGTCAAGATTGCTTTTCGCTTGTACCTTTTAAAGTGCGCAGTAGTCTAACGACGATCGATCATTTCGTACTTCGTAATACGTATTTGAGAATCGTTAAGTGCATTCATGGTTGTTGCACCATGCGAAAAAAAATAGACTCCGTGCCTTCCTCTTTCGTACAATGATTTTTTTTTTTTATCGTTCTCTCAGTTTTCAATCTGAATAATCGTATGATTTTTCTGATGGAATAGAATTTGAATCATCATTGTCTGAAACGTACAGCAGTTTATGAAAGTATTTGAATATTTATTAAAAAAAGTGAATGTATTGTGATGAATATTTTATGAATATGTTATTTAAAACATTTTGACATTTTATTGATATTATAATGAGAGACGACTAATACGATCAAATTGGTAAAATCTGAAACCAATCTGTATAATGACGACAAAAGAAAGTTTACAACAGAAACACTGTGAGTTTAACATATTATAGTAACAATTATTTATTCTGATAGATACTTCACATTTATTCATCGTTCTTCAGTCAACTGTGTAATTGTATTTTTTAAGTATATATATATATATAGTATATTTCCTTATCTTTTAAATTTTCTCGTGTCCATTACTGTATATAAAAATTACAATATGCTTGTTGCAAACATATATTTGCTAAAGAGTTGGCGTAGAACACGAATAGCTATCTTAAATATATAATAAATGTTAAATATTGCACCACTGAATATTAAGATTCATCGATGCAATGGATAAATATTTTTGTAATTTTAGTGGCAGACAGAAAAAAAAGTTTATACGAAAGAACGATTTGTACCATAAATTTACAAAATGGGATTATGTTTGGCAAGAGTAATGATTGGGGTGCAAAAGTACACGGACTGCAATGGATAAATATTTTTATGGTGTTCTGTAATTTTAGTGGCAGACAGAAAAAAAGTTTATACGAAAGAACGATTTGTACAATAAATTTACAAAATGGAATTATGTT